CCAGTGGCTATCGCGTTCTGGATTGGAAGCTCAAGGGATAAAGAGACTAGTAGCATCCCGTGCAGGTGTGGTTCACAAGTCTGGTATTTCAAGAAAGACAAAATGAGCTGCAAAGAATCTAGAAGCCATTAAGTGCACTCAAAGGAACAGAGCTGTCATGTAAATAAAGAGATTACTGTTCTTTGAGCTGGGAAAGAGACAGTAAAAGTTTATGAGAGAATTGAAGGAATGTTTAGATTAATCTAATGTAAAACTTCAATAAGTCAGTTTGATAGAATGTAAACAAATATAAACTTCTGGCCCTCTCAAAAAAAATTTACATGGGGGCTGGAGATATGGCTCAGTGGTTAAAAGCATTTGCTGCTCTTAAAGAGGACCCAGGTTTGGTTCCTGGCACCCACATGGTGGCTCACAACTGCCTAATTCCAGTTCCAGGGGACCCACGGCCTTCTCCTGGCATGCTAGGACACCTGTGCACACATGGTCATGTATATACTCTAAGGCACACACATACACATAAAATTTTAATATTTTTCTGTAAGTTGATTTACTGTTTTTCCTTTCCTTATTTCTATTCACACAGGGAACTGAGGCCCAATGAAGAAGTTACTTGGAAGTAAAGCCTGTGGCTAAATCACAGAATGTTCACATTTTAAAAGTTATTGGAGAAATAAAAACATTTATTAATTAATTGGAAGGATTTAAAATGTGATTCTTTCTTTACTTTTTATTGAGGTAATCAACTATGTCCTTTGTATTTTATTGAAGTATCTATGGTGATATTTTATTTGTACTGAAATGTGATTTTATTCGTATATTAATAAATAAAGTTGACTGGGGGTCAGAGTTAATAGCAAGCCATAGCAGAAGTCTGGCAGTGGTAGCACACACCCTTAATCCTGATCACATGACAGGCAGATCTTTGTATGTTCAAGGATACAGCCAGCATGGAGACACATGCCTTTAATCTTAATACCAACCATAGAAGACCTGGTGGTCTGTATAGATGGGCAGTGACGAGGAGGTCATGTAGTTGGGTTTACAACCAATGAGAAGGCAGAACAAAAAGTCAATAAAAAGGACAAACACACAGGAAGTAGCTCTTGCGGAGAGGTAGGACAGCAGCGGCAGTGAAGGGTAAGGTTTTTAGTCTCAGCTCTTAGCCATTCCTCTGACCTCTTGGCTTTTAACTCTGTATTTGGCTCCATGTTTCTTATTTAACAAGATGGTTACATCTACAAATATCTTTCAAGTATCAGGCACAGATAACTTAAAAAATGACTGTTGAGGCCAGGTGGGGTAGTGAAGTCTGTAATCTTAACACTGAGGAGGCAGAAGCAGAAAGATTGCTGTAAATGCCACATCAGCTTGATTTACATAGTAGACTCTAGATCAGCCAAGGAGATATCTATCTATCTCTCTCTCTCTCTCTCTCAAGACCATGTCTCAAAAACAACTACAATTGACACGCTGTTGTATACATAGGTATCTCATTTATTAGCATTTCATTTTTATTTCTCTCTTTGGATTACAGGTCTAAGTCATAACTACCATTTTTTCCCCTCATATTTTTCAAATGTATGCTATGGTTTCAGAGTGTCCCCCAGGAGTTGGTATGTTCAAGTTTAATCTCCACTGTGAAGTATTAAAAGAATAGAAACGTCTTCGAATCCTGTGTATAGAAGTAGGATTCTGAGAAGTGATTGGACTAGACTGTGCATCAGGATATTGCAGCTATAATTGAATGTCTGGTGGCTTTGTAAGAGCTGTATCACTTGCCATGTGATACCTTATACCAACTCAGGACTGGCAACAAGAAGGCCAACATTGGATATGGCCCTTGACCTTGTAATTTCAGAATCCTGAGCAAAAACCAACCTCTTTATTAAAGTTGTCTGGCCTCGAACACCTTGTTACAGAAAATGCTTCCAAAGATCTCTAAAGGATGATGCTAGGGTTTTTTGTTTTTTTTTTTTTAAATTACACTCATGAGATTAATCACATTTGTGGTATTCATAGATTATATTCGCAGTATTCATTCAATTATATATATATATATATAGATGTATAAAGTATATCTACATATATATAATTATTTTTTTTTAAATTTAAATGTCGAATGTCATTTCTTGAAGGGGGTAGGAGGTCTTAAATACAGGCTTACAGCACAATGGGAGGACCCTGGAGGGCAGAAGTTCGATACTGATTTTTTACAGTCTTGCATCTAAGCTGTTAACACCCATTATTTAGGATACACAGACAAGGAACTTCCCTTAAGCATTCAGGAGGGTGGAACCTGGCAGGGAATTAGCGTTGGGAGGATATCAAGGTCAAGGTCCACAAGCATGGTAACAGTTACCCAAAACAGGGGCCAGGGCATTGCAGGTCCCCCTTTTATTAAAAAATGAGCTTCTGACTTGGGTTGCGTGGGACGTCAGCAGGTCACCTTATCCATCATGGAGACGCCTGCCCAGGCCACACAGGTGCTCTGTCTTAGGTTGGTGAGTGCCCCCCAGGCATTACCCATCTCTGAATACTCATTATCATACTGGCTCAATCGTGTGTGAGCTGCAGTTAATTGCTGCCAAAGATCTCAAAGTGGCACTGGGCAATCTGTGTGTTCGATACAGAAAAGACCAACAGAGGTCCTATGTCACCCATAGTCAGTAGGCTAAAGGCAACTGAGCCATTCCCTTCCTTAACAAGCCATACTGTACATTGGAGTCCTTGTAAGATAGTATCCCCAAAGCAACTGGAACTTGAGTTTATAATGCCCCTCTGTAAGATGGAATGTGTTCCCTGTCCTTGGAATATTCTCTTTCTTCACTAGCTTCCTTGCAAGATGGAATATTTCTCCCCCCTTAGAATATAGTATCCTGCACCGTAAAGAGCTTCCCTCCAATATGGACAGCTTTATCTGTTTTATCTCAAGAGGAAATTGCACACAGAATGTTCAACAAGTAATATGGCACTTCCCTTGAGCTGGTCTTCACTGGTAGTCTCCATTTCCTCACCTCTCACTTCCCTGCTTTTCTTGAACTTGTACTTACAAAGATGATCTTAACAGAAACAAAACTAAGCAGTCTCGTGTAAATATTCACGCCCCTGAACTTCTTGGCAGCATCTAACACTGACTGCTCCTTGAAGCATTCTCTCCTGGACCTTCCATTTCATTATTTGTACTCTTCTTGCCTCCTGTTCTCTACCTTCAGGACTTAGCTCTAGATCCTTTTTTCAATCTCTTCCTTTGCTCTACGATGAGACAGGGCTTCTTTGTGTAGCCTGGCTGTTCTGGAACTTGCTTTGTAGACCAGGCTGGCTTCAAGCTCAATGTAGATCCACCTGCCTCTGCCTCCTGAGTGCTGGGACTAAAGGCATGAGCCACCATGCCCCACTAGTTACCAGTGTTTTAAATTTTTTTCTTACATACTTATACTTTATGTGTATGCATGTTTGCCTGCATGTGTGTATATGCCACACAGTGCATCCCTGGTGCCTAAAAAGCAATGGATCCCTTGGATCTGAAGTTACCAACTGTTGTGAGCCTCCAGGTGCATGCTGAGAATCAAACCCAGGTGCTCTACAAGAGAAACAAGTGCCCTTAACCATGGAGCCACCTCTCCAGCCCTTTTAAATAGAACCAACCCCACCCCACAGCTCAAACCAGCTTCTGTAAACTCCAGGCCTGATGACTACTACTCAAGAAAAGCACCTGTATGCTGCGCAGACACTTAAATTCATTATTCCCCAAATTAAACCTTTGTCCTTTCTTCCCAAGACCTTGCTCGTTCTGCATAGTGTTTCTGATAGGAGTATTACTCCTACTGTAGGCGGTACCTACAGTGGAAATCCAGAAGTCTTAACAACACCTCCCTTCCCCACTAGATTCTTCTGAGTCTATTTCCTAAAGGTTCTAAATGGTCTCTCTCCATCCCTCAAATTACTACCAGAGTCATGACCACCATCATCTCTTCATTTCTCCCCAAATGCCTTCAAGTATCCTGTTCCCCAGTGGTCCTTTAAAGTGCTAATTTGACCCTATATCTCTAGTTTTAAAAATCTTTAACTGCTTGTCGCCTCTTTTTTTTGGAGGGGGGGGGCAGGGTCACCCTATGTAACCTGGGCTATAGGCTGGCATATCCCAGCTATCCTCCAACTCAGTATACTCTTTCCTTTACCTTCAGGTGCAAGGATGCTAAGAATGAACCTTCATACTGAGTTTCCTTGCTGACTTTAAGGAACCTAAAATGGTTTCACAGTGCAAGATCTGCGCCCATCCTACGCTTAATCTTCATCAGCATCCTCCCCCCCCCCCGCGCTGTCCCCGACGCCGTTGCCAGCGCGCGCGTGCCTCCAAACATTTTGTTGGACTTTTCACTTCCCCACCGAAGCTTCCTCCTTCAGAGCTAGATAGAGCACTTACCCCGTGACCTGACTGATTCATTCCAACAGGCAGAACTACCCTGGTCACTGTACTGTCCCTAATTTCTTCGTGCCTCCATTTCCTCATTTGTATAATATTACAACAGACACACACATCAGAAGATGCCGTACTAAACTGCACTTAGAAATGGGCTCTAAGTCAGCCCTAACTAAATATTAGCTATAGTCTTTTTCACACAAGTACTAGGTGTGTGAAGAGAATACCTTTTCTTGAAAGAGGTTTTCAGTGGGAGAGGAGGTATTAGTTACATGCAGTTAAGAAGAAAGTACCAAAGAAGATGGAAAAGAAAAAAAAAAAAAAAGACAGAAAACCTGGCCGCGAGGATCCTCGTCTAGAACCCTAGAATCACAAGATTGTCTAGCAAAGCGCGGAGGGAGGAGAAGCTCCTCCGCACGGCAGGTGGCGCCGCAGTACCGCGCACGCCGGGGGAGAACAGGCGCCCGGAGGACCCACCGCCCAGGTCACGTGCCCCGCGCTCCCTGGCGCCGCGCGCCGCGTGACGTGCGCCCGCCGTAGTGATTGGTTGGCGGGAGGCACGTGGGCAGAGCGGGGCGGGCCGGGGTGGAGGGGTGGGGCCGGGGGCGGAGCTGCTGGAGGGGGCTGCTCCGCGCCGGGGCCGTTGGCTCCAGACAAATAAACATGGAGTCCATCTTCCACGAGAAAGTGAGTGTGGGCGTTCGGTGGGGAGCCGACCGGGGCTCGTCGGCGGGCGTGGGGGAGCAGAGGCGTCGCCTCAGGGACTCAGGGCGGGGCCCGATCTCCCCCATCCCGACCTGGCTGGGTGAGGGGCGCTTCCTGCCTCCTCCCGGTGTCTCGGCTCAGGGAGCCTCCTTCATGCGCTCCCGGCGTCCTCGCCAAAAAGGACCGGGCGGATAACCAGGGCTCATCGGGCACTTCGGGGGCTTCACCTGGGGCGTTAGCGCGGGCGTTCGTTTTCACTTGCCACGCCTTTTTCGGGTTTCTTCTGTCTCCTCTCCTAGGGTCTAGTCTAGCGAGTCGCCCTCTCCACACCTGGTGGACCCTTGCCAACTCCACCCATGCCCTCTGACCTATCCTCTGGCAGAATCAACTTTCTCTTCAACTCAGTTCTATCATGGAATGGCCCATGCATTTAGATCTTGATGATCTGTCCCACGTCCTTCTGCAGATGTTACCGTGGCTCTCCCATTGAAGGGCCTGGCACTTAGGAAGTAAAGTAGGAAACCCCGGAGTCCCTAAGGGAAGTCGTCATAAGAGTTTTTATTACGGGATGTTTGGGTTTGGTTTGCTAGCCGGTCTTTCCGCACTAGGAGACCAGCTTTGTTTTTAGGTATTATGGAATAGATTAGAATCTTTCTGCTGTGTGATCCAGCTAGTCTCTTCCTCACCCTAAATCCTAAATGACTACGCTTAAAAATATTGTTGTGACATCTTGAGAAACTGGTCTTTGCTCGCATATAATTATTAAGTCATTTGGGTGTTCCTCAGACAACTTTGGCATACGATACGATGTTTCATAATCGTTTTAGGTTTGGAGAGGATTGCTAGTTGGGGCTATTGTTTAGTAGGAGCAAAGGGTCTTTGTTTTGTTCAGTACTTGTAAATGAGCATTTATTCAAGGCATTTAAAGTTCATGCACCACAGAGGAAAAACAAAAGTGATGTAAATCCAAGAAATTGTTAAATGAAGTGCTCTTGAGAAGACATTTCTGAGTCTTGGAACTGGAACGAGTTAGTCTGTGACAAGATCTCTTGTAGCCCAAGCTTGCTGCTGACTCCCCATCCTCCCCATCCTCTTGTCTGCCTCCTGAGAGGTGGGATTACAGCCATGTGCCATGACTCCTAACACCCCCCCCCATACATTTGTAGTTAATTTTCCAAAGGCTTTGACATAGAACCCATTTGAAATGTGGTAGACTTTAAACACTATATACACCGCTTCATGAGACTCCTACCATGCAGTCTTTTAAAAAACATTTTATTACTGTCGTGTGTATGATGCATGTGTGTGCCTGTGTGGAGGTCAGGACAACTAACTTTACAAAGTCGATTCTCTCCTTCCAACTTTGTGTGAGTTCCAGGGGTCTAACTCGGGCTTATGGCAAACCCCTTTACACACTGAGTCATTTCTAGGGCACTTAATACATTAAAAAAATTTTTTTATGTGGGTGTTTTGCCTTTGTGTGTTTCTATGCACTGTGTGTTCTTGGTACCCACTGAAGGCAGACGATCCCCCGGACCTGGAGTTACAGAGGGTTGTGAGCAGCCACGTGGGTTTTAGGAATTGTACCTGGGTCCTCTGGAAGATCAGCCAGTGCTCGTAACTGTTGAGCCATTTCTCCAGCCCCCACAATCTTTACAATATTGATTGATCCTCATTTGAGCAGATTTCAGTGAAGGTAACTACTGAACCATTATATCCAAAGTGCTAGCCTAACACAAACTTACTCAGGCTGGGGAGATGCCTCAGCTGGTAAAGCGCTTGCTGTGTAAGCATGAAAACCTGAGTTCAGATCCCAGCACCATGTAAAGCCAGACAGGGCAGTGTGTGTCTGTATCCTCAGTACCTGAGGATCTTCGTGCATACATGTACACAGGAACACATACACAAACATGCACATGTACACACACGTATACACACATAAACCTTGCTTATCAAGACGTCACTCAGTTATCAGCATGTTTATACAGTTAACAAATAGTTGAGTAGTACATTTACTCTGTGTGTGTGTGTTTGTGTGTACATTCGAACAAATGGGTGGGGGTGCACATGTGTGTGTATGCATATAGAGTCAGGAGGACCACCTTGATGGTGTTCCTCACTGGGTTGGAACTTGCCAAAGTGGCTAGCCCCAGGTATCTGCCCATTTCCACTTCCCCAGCACTGCAGTTACAAATGGGTACCACCATGCTTGGCTTTTTAAATGAGGGTTCTGGGCCTTGTAACACATGAGGCATCTCACCTGTCCTGAAGAGTACTTTGCTTTTATCATCAACTTAAATATCATAGCAAATGAACATTTATTAAAGTCATAGTATATTCCAATACACCTGTAACTATAGGTTATTAATCATATAAGAGGCCATTTGGGGAATATTTGAGCATAAATGCTATTTTCCAGATAATTCTTTTCCCTTCCATACTTGACTTTAATCAGAGAATGATCTAGAGAAGACTTCAACTACTTCTCTAGGAATTAATTTTACACTTGCCCCTTTGAGTATTTATTATTAAGTTGGAATATAAAAACAGTTGTCAGCCAGGCATGGTCATGGTACAGGCCTTTAATCCTAGCACTTGGGAGATAGAAGCAGGCAGATCTCTGTGAGTTCAAGGCTAGCCAGTTTACATAGTGAGTTCCAGGACAGTCAGGGCTAGCTAGCTAGGTAAAGAGATCCTGTCTCAAAAACAAAAAATAAATAAATAAAAGCCGTTGTCCATTGGTAGATCTCCAGTTGGAGATACTGTGTGAATGAATGGAGTTAAGCACATGGTATGTGCCTCTATCTCAGCTGTTTATTATGCTGAGACTAGAATTACCAGAAATCCGGGCATATATGGGTGGGAGTGAGAGTTCCTTGAATATCTAAAACGGTGATTCCCAACCTGTGGATTGCAACCCTTTGGGGGTCCAATGATGCTTTCATAGGGGTCACCTAAGACCATCTGTATATCAGATATTAACATTATGATTCATAACAGTAGCAAATTACAATTATGAAGTAGTGAGATTGTGTGGTTGGGGGAGGAAATGTATTAAGGGCGTGCACCATTAGGAAGGTTGATAACCACTGCTTTAAAAATATGTGGTTCTATTTATTTAAAGGATACAACTCTTCTGTGATTTTTTTTTTTTTTTTTTTTTTTTTTTAAAGACAGGGTTCCACTGTTGTAGCCCTGGCTGGCCTGGAACTTGCTTTGTAGACCAGGCTGGCCTTGAACTCACAAAGACCTGGCTGCCTCTCCCTCTCAAGTATTGGGATTCAAGTCACACACCACTATGCCTAGCCTCTACATATTTTAAGCCTTTTCAGGCCATATATCTGTCACAAAGTCTCATTTATGTTCCTCATATATTCCTCAGACTCTCTGAATTTTTTTGTGTGTAAAATATAGTTTTTAGCTATCGAGGAAGATTGAACTTGGGCCCATGAGCTATAGAGTTTACCATCTCCTAACTTTAATAGTAAATTGCCAATACCAGCTGCTTTCTTGGATGTGATGTTTTGTTGTTGCTCTTATTCTGGTGCCTCTGTCACTGGCTACGTTTGGTGCGGTCTGTACCTGCACTTCCAGTGTAATGTGAACTGGGAGTGCAAAGCACAAAAAGATGGAACAGAGGCTGAGCATTGACCTTGTCACATCCACCATGCCCTTTTGTGATTGCCGGCTCTTAGTGACATTCAGGATATGTGGGGTTTAGGGAAAGCCTAATTCCAAATATTCGATTTGAGGAGATGGTAACAGCACAGAGCCTCTGCCTAGGTGTGAACTCCAGCTCTGCCGCTTGCTGCTTGTAGGATTTCTGGAGTTATTACCTCTGTGGTTTTCTTTTTTTTTTTTTGCCTCTGTAGTTAATGACAAATTAGCTGCCTCAAAGTCATGCATGCTAAGAAGCTGTCCAGAAGTCAGTGTTGCAGAAACTGCTGCAGTACTAAGGTCTTGTGTTTGATGAACCCCATACTAAATAAGGGGCAGAAGAGATCTGGGGGTGTAGTTCAGTGGTGGAGTACTTACTTAATATGGACAAGGGACCAATCTCCAGCATAAAAGAAAAAAGAAGGACGAGGAAAACACTAAGCAGTAAAGAGGTGGTGACAGTAGGCATTGTGGCTGTGATTTGAGCTCTAAGTCACACAGTCCTTACCTACCCAGGGAGACCAGTCCACTATTGGTCCATTTTTGAGCGCACCATTAGGGTTGTATCTCTTTTCTACTATAGTTAATATTGTCACTGGGGTTTTACCTAGTTTCAGGTTGGACCCCAAAACCCAGGGTGTGTGTGTGTGTGTGTGTGTGTGTGTGTGTGTGTGTGAGAGAGAGAGAGAGAGAGAGAGAGAGACTTGGTTGCAGTTCCCTTTTTTGATTTTATATACTATCTTGGTAGAAGTGGAAGTGTAGTGTGTTTATCTTCTGGGTCCAACACACTAAAATATGGACTCCAAATCTTAGAATTTTAGTAGCAAAGTGAGTTTCTCTTCTACTTGGGTGAAATACTTAAAGGTATTTTATTACATTGTATGTATTGTGGTGCTCCATGCATGCCACTCTACATGTGGAGGTCAGAAGGCAATTTGGTGGGAGTTGATCCTCTCCTCCCACTGTGTGGGTCTTCATGATAACAGCAAGCAAACATTACCTCTTGAGCCATCTTGCCAGCTCCCCACCTGAGTAAAACTCCGATTAGAAAGAGGAAACAGGCTAACTTGGGCAATGGCAATAAGACAGAAAAATGCATGATCAGAGATAGATAAATAACTTTTTTGGTTCATGTAGAATTTGATCAGTGTGTGTCAATGAGATTTTTAAATTGAGTTGAACAATTTGTTTTTTTTTCCTTCCATTAATTATATTAGAACTATAGAGCATATTTCTAGTAGCAGTACCATTTTACTTGTCAAGGTTTGATTTTAAGTGCTTATTTTTTTCATAATAAAAAGCTAGTTTTTTAGGGACTGGGAATGTAGCTCAGGCCTGAGTTTAATCTATCCCCATTACCACATAAACTGGGCATAATGAGACACAAACTTTTGTTTTTTAAGAATTCATTATTTTTATTTTGTGTGTATGAGTGCCTACATGGATCAAAGTGTACCATGTGCAGACAGTGACTGAGGAGACCAGAGGGCATCAGATTCCTTAGGACTGGAATTACAGCTGGCTGTGAGTTCCCCTGTAGATTCTAGGAACCAAACCCAAATCCATTTCTCCAGCCTCCAAAACCCCAATCTTTAATAGCAAGAATTTTTTTTTATCAAAATTTCGGGTGTCACTATTTCTATATATTAAATATGGTGACCAGGGGCTAGATAACTCAGTGATTACGAGCACAGGCTGCTTCAGATGACCTAGGCTTCCCAGCACCCATATGATGATGACTTAGCCCTCTGCAACTCTGGTCTCAGAAGATCCAACCCCTTTTTCTGGCCTCTCTGAATACCAGGCATGTACATGGTGCAGACATACATGGCAGACAAAACACCTATACACATAAAAATAAAAATATCTTTAAAAAATATGGTGACCGTAGTTTAAGAACCCCACACTGAAGCATATTGCCTAGCAATAGGACTGAAAATTGCATCACAGCTGCTTTCCCAAATGGAGTGTCTGGTTGCCATGTTAGATATTTCTTGATTTCTTTTCTTTCCTTTTTGAGATGAGGTCTCACTATGTAGGTGACAGGCCAGGAACTCAGAGAGATATGCCTATCTCTGCCTCCTGAGTGCTGGGATTAAAGTTGTGCACCACCACCGCCTGGCCTTGTCTGAATGTTTTAAATTAAGTATGCCATACATAACACATAAGTCAAGGAAGCACATGTGGAAGCTGCCCTTAGATGAAGTCACAGACTATTTCCCTACACCCACTAAGTCCCCTCAATCCTCTCCTCCAGGAACTAGCCCTTCCAGTACTTACTTCTGCCAGGAAATGCTACCATCATAGATGAAGAGATTAAGAGATTAATTCTGCCTATTTGTAAGCTCTTTCAATTTTTTAATTTATTATCATGTGTTTCTGCATGGTATGTTGTATGAATAGACACACATACCTCTGTGTAGAGAGATCAGTGGAATGTTCTCTTCCACTTTTAAGTCTGTTCTATGGTTGGAACTCAGGACATTAGGCTCCTCTCACTTGCCCCACCCTGTACTTTTGCTGTCTTTCTCTGTTTGGTGGTGGTATTGGGGAATTAACTCAGGGCCTTACACATACTAGCTACACCCTTAGCTCTGATGTCTACTCTTTTGAGTGTTGTGTGCTTTTTATTTTTTAAAAGTATTTGAGAGATTCATCCATATTGTTGCAGTTAACTTGAATTTAATTTACTTTTACTCTTATACACTGTTCTTTTGTAAATACAGTTCTGTGGTCTAAACTGTCTTTGAATGCTTTCCAGTTTGGAGGCCTACAAGCAGTGCTTTGGTGACACATTTGCAGTGTGTGTGTGTGTAACCACAGAGCACACAGAGCACACAGTTCTGTGGTAGAGGTGAAGGTTGTTGCACAGTGGTTTCACTAAGCTATACTTGCTCCTGTAACGACTGTTGTCTGCCATTCTAAACCTCTCTGTTGTAATAGCTGTCCTGGAGACTGGATAGTAGTAACACATTGTGAATTTTTCTTTTATAAAAATAATTTTTTTTTTAGCTAGGTAGTGGTGGTGCACTGTAACCAGAGGAGTTCCTCTGTCTTGCCCCATCCTGCAGCCGTTTCCAAATAAACTCTCAGAGGCTTATATTAATTATAAATGTTTGGCCAATGGTTCAGGCTTATTACTAGTTAGCTCTTACATTTAAACTAACCCATATTTCTTATCTATGCTTTGCCACATAGTTTGTGGCTTGTTACCTCATTTTCTATAGTCTTGCTTCCTCAGCAACTGGCTGGCATCTGCTGACTCCGCCTTTCCTCTTCCCAGAATTCTGGCTCTCATGCTCAATCTCTTCCTCCCCAGCCCTCAGCCAATTAGCTTTATTATAACAATGAGCATAATCCACATCAGTGCACATCTTTGATCTTAGCACTTGGAGTCAGAGGCAAACATTTCTTCTTCTTCTTCTTCTTCTTCTTCTTCTTCTTCTTCTTCTTCTTCTTCTTCTTCTTCTCCTCCTCCTCCTCCTTCTCCTCCTCCTTCTTCTTTTTTTTCTCAAGACAGGGTTTCTCCATGTAGTTTTGGTACCTGTCCTGGATCTTGCTCTGTAGACAAGGCTGGCCTCAAACTCATAGAGATCCGCCTGGCTCTACCTCCCGAGTGCTGGGGTTAAAGGTGTGTGCCACCACTGCCTAGCTGCAAACAGATTTCTATGAGTTTGAGGCCAACCTGGTTTATATAGTGAGTTCCAGGCCAGCCAAGGCTAGATCACAAAGTGAGATCTTGTCTCAGAAACAACAAAAACATCTTTAGAGCCTGAAAAGATAGATTAGCAAGTAAAGGCACTTAACTGCCAAGCCTTATAGCCTGAGTTTGATCCTTGGGACCCACATTGTGAAAGGAGACATTTGAATCCTGCAAGTTGTCTTCTGCATCTCCTCCAGCCAATCAGTCAATCAATAAGTAAAATAATTTAAAAATAATTTTTTATTATTTGTGTGTATGTGGCATGCATGTGAGTGCTGGCGTGCACATGGCCATGTGTGTAGGTGGAGGTCAAGAGGGCGAGTACTTGGGAGTCATTCTCTCCTTCTACAGTAGTATCTGGGGATTGACAGCAGGCACCTTTACCTGCTGAGCCACCTCCTGCCCTGTGTTGTGGTTTTGATATACATTTCCCTGGTGATTGATGAAGTTGAGATCTTTTTGTATGTTTTTAGCCCCTTGACTATCTTGTGAAATGCTTGCATTTCCACTAGGATATAGGGTGAACATCTGTACGGCTCTGCTTCATAGTAGGCAGTATTCAGTGGAAGTTGCTCCTAGCAGTAGATGAGCAGTAGAAGGAAAATGAGGCAGAGACAAAGAATTCTGTTACCATGTGACGGAATACTTAACTCTACCTCCAGGTCAGCTTGGACAACTTTTCTTAGCAGACTATGAACATCAGCTTGCTCTAGCTCTGTGTCAGACTCAAGCTGTCTGAACTCTGCTTTCTTATTCCATAGCAGACATGTATACTGTATCTACTTCAACAATTACATTTTGTTTCTATAACATTGATTCATCAGGGGGAAATGCATCTTGGAAGGTGCTCTTTGGAGTCATCATCTGCCATGTAACATAGCTCAGACCAGGAGCCATGATGCCTGGCAGGTTGAGTTCAGCAGGCCTTATTGGCCCCTTAGTGAGTCAGAGTTAACAGAGGAAGTTTTCTCCCATCTGCCCTTGCCCCCAAGAAAGGCAGATTTTGGGTCTGTGTCCACCGGACTCATCCACTCCCAAGTGCCCCTTCTTTACCTATAGCTTAGGGAAGCAGCACTCTTAGGACCAGGAGAGTGACAAGAAGACCGGTAGGTGCCGGGCAGGCTGGATTTGGAGTTCAGGTTGGGTGCCAGCTGTATAGGAAAGCCAGCTAACCAGGCTCGTGGGATGTTGTACCCACCTCCACGAGAGGATGCTAAGGACCCCTTGGGGAGCTGTGCTTGACTGCAGTGCCTCTTGCTAACTTGTCCACTCACGGATGTGGACTGCGGTCAGCTTGGGACAGTTCTCCTTTCTACATACCACATGGAATGAGTCTGCAAAGTTGGCCGATGGAAGCCTCAGCTCTAGAGCTGGGTCTTATTTAGCCTGAGACAGAATTGTTCTCACTTACACCAGGTCTGGAGTTTGAAAGGACAGGCTTTTAATGTTAAATACTGACTAACTTGTTAGAAGAATGAATGTTCTAGGGGATAACATTCCCTTTTTGCAGTAGTAATTTGCCATGAAATCTCCAAAGATGAATTCTTGTAGGTACTGAAAAATTCACAAGGCTAACTTTTTATAGGGTGATTTTTAGGCTTCTGTGAGATTGGTAGTTGAAGTTGTACTGTAAATCATTCTTTATTGTTGTTCCTATGGTGAAACAGCTGTAAAATAAATGTGGACAAATGAAAATGCATATGCCTGTAAAATCAGGTTTGCCTAAGGGTTATACATTTGTTTTGAATGTGTTAAAAAGTTAGTAATTACATTTTTTAGAAGATACTGTACAGATCCACTTAGTAAATCACATTTAAATTTATTCTTTTGGAAACACTAGCAAGAAGGCTCACTTTGTGCTCAGCATTGCCTGAATAATCTATTGCAAGGGGAGTATTTTAGCCCTGTGGAGTTATCCTCGATTGCACACCAGCTGGATGAAGAAGAAAGGATGAGGATGGCAGAAGGAGGCGTTACCAGTGAGGACTATCGCACATTTTTACAGGTACTGACTTCAGTCTAGCAAAGCCCGGGCTATTTTTAAAGTGCGGGTGCTCTTTAAAGGAGGATGAGCCATTCTCCCCATAGGAGCCTGACTTGTTAATTATAGCTCTGTTCTTCACTTGGTAAATGGGACTGTGCCGCGGGTTCTTGTCAATGTGCACACTAATGACAGTCTTAATCCTTTTCCCATCTCTCTCTGCCCACAACTGCCCATGAAAATTGAACAGCAGCCTTCTGGAAATATGGACGACAGCGGCTTTTTCTCCATTCAAGTAAGTAGTCTGGAGTGTGTGCGAAGTGCTGCCTCATTTTAGTGCTGTGGTGCTTATTCTAAGTTTGTGGTTGATGTGGCACAGCATGGCACAGCCTGGCACAGCTTTTTATGTAACGATGGAGCCTTCAGTAGTTCCCTCAGTGAACTATGTCTACAGAAGACTGCGCTCCAGAGTGCTACACATAAGAGAGATGAACTTTAGGACTGTAAACTTTAGAACAGGGCTTTGGTCGCTCGCTTGCTTGGGACAGGCAGGGTCTCCCTATATAGTCCTGGCTGGTCTGGACTTATGTACATCTTCCCATCTGTGTCTCCAGACTGGAATTATAGGTGTGTGCTACCATGCTTAGTTTAGAACAGGGCCTTTAAAAATTACTTTCTGAAAGAGATTGCTTCATTTGCATGTAGATGCTAATAGCTTTAATTCTAATAAATTACAGTGCTTCAAATTTATTGTCTCTGGTACATCTGAGAATTGCAATGGCTTGCAGCCTTCAATTTGAGTCATCCTACAGGATTGGGTTCCTGTGGTACTTCTCTGGCTTCTGATCTGTGTGGTAATTGTAGCCCTTTTGGAGGGTGGGATTGGGATTGGCTCCAAGGCCTCACGGATGCTCAGACTCTACCACGGAGTCAAGTCCCATTAGGCTCCATTTTAATTCTGTGGTGGTTTATTCTTTATGGTGCTGGGGGTGATATTTAAGGTCTTGTCTCGTAGTGAACAAATATTCTGCCCTAGAGAAAACCTCCAGCCCTGTGGTTATTTTTGTGTGTTTGTTTATGTTGCTTCTATAGACAGGTTGTTGCTTTGTAGCCTAGCCTGGTCTTGAACTTCCCAAAGTCCTGCTTTGGCCTCCCAGGTGCTGGGACTACAATTGGGGGCCACCATGCCTAACTTAATTCATGTATTTGTGGGGTTCTTTTCTCTGTGGACACATTCTAACAATGTGAGAGTTGTCCAAGTTCTTTCAGAATCTCTTGAGAGATCTCTTTCTGCAGGTGTTTTTCTTTATAAATTCCTTCTGCTCCAGCCTCGAGTCCCCCTTTTCTAGCACTTCCCCCCAGTGCTTCACTGTGACATTATGAGGACCACTGGCCCTGAGCTGGGAGCCGAGGTCAGAGGTGGCACAGCCCCGCCCTCTCCTGTGTGTGGGCACTTGTGTTTGCTCTGTTACTATGCAGTGTGCTTGTTTCTTTGTTGTCCACCTGGGAGGACAGGTAGAATGTTTTCTCAGTTTGCAATAATCAGGTTTGACTTTTTGTTCATGACTGCAGAAGTCTAAAGTATATCAAACCTTTTTACAGATATACTTTTATTTTAAAAATTATTTGTATATGTCTATATCTGTGTGTGGGTATGTGCACATGAGTGCTTCTGTCTGCAGAGGCCAGAAGAGGGCATTGGAGTCCTGGAGCTGAAATTACAGGTGCCTGTGAGCCCTCTGACATGGGTGCTGGGAACTGAACTTTGGTCCTATAAGAGGAGTATGCACCATTGACCACTTAGTCATCTCTCCAGCCCCCAAACCTTGCTTTCAATCCCTAGGGAGAACTTACTTTATATTGTATGCCTTTGGTTGCTACCATTGCAAGTGAGTATATGTAGTAGACTAGTTTTACAGTCAGTGTGTGTAGTGGATTGGTTTTACAGTGAGTGCGTTTAGTTTTACAGTGAGTGGTGACTAGTTTTACGGTGAGTGTATGTAGTGGACTAGTTTTACAAACAGTACACACAGATGGAATGTGCTTCTGGATTCTTGAGACAGTTTTATCTATGAATTGTGTGATTTTCTGACATTTCTCCGAAACCTAGTATGGAAAGCACTCTTTTAAAATGGATTTGTGGGGGCTGTAGAGATGGCTTCACATTTAAGAATGCTTAATGGTATTTCAGAGGACCAGTTCAGTTCCCAGCACCCACATTAGGCTGCTTACAACTACCTGTAACTCCAGTATACAGGGACCTGATACTGTCCTCTGGCCTCCACAGGCACTTGTACTATGGTCTCTACTCAATCAGACACACTAATACACTTAAATAAAAGTAGTAAAAAATAAATCTTTAAAAAATAATAATGAAATTAAATTCACATGTATATATTATTTATGGATTTAGTGGGGTATCATGGGGATATACTTTTTAAAAACAATATCCTCAAAGTTTATATATGGAGTACAGTTGCTTACACAATGTAGCTGTGCTACTTGAAGGTTTAGCTCATGAAAAGTTGCTGTTTTTCTTTTGACAGGTTATAAGCAATGCCTTGAAAGTTTGGGGTTTAGAACTAATCCTATTCAACAGTCCAGAGTACCAGAGGCTCAGAATTGATCCTATGTAAGATTTTTTTCCTACATTTCTTTATTTAAACTTGATTTTTAAAGCTGTAGTTTCTGAATGAGGATAAATTCATCATGAATGTTTTTGCATTGATACTGCATTTGATGCCCTTGGACTTCACTATGTCACTGTGTCACATTTTTGGTACCCCCGAGTTCAGTGGCGGCACTGACCTGAGGCGTGGAGGCTGTGGGGCACAACATTACTAAGCTCCTATGGAAAATGCATAGAGTTACGCAATTTTCATTTTTTAAAATCAGTAACACTTAAGTGTAACTATATCGTAACTGATAGAAATTTTATAGTACTTGCTAGTATATATCATAATATCCCACTTAACAGTATTAACAGTATGTTTTATCTTTTCTAGAAATGAAAGATCCTTTATATGCAATTATAAAGAACATTGGTTTACAGTTAGAAAATTAGGAAAACAGGTAATATTTCTTCTCCTTTCTTGTCCTTTTATCACACTATATACTCCATTTAAAAATAAAATGCAAACAACTGGTGTCTTTAGAATGAAGCCCAGGATCCCATGCACTCTACCTGAGCCTGGACTCAATTCAGCAGATAAAAATTGGCTATCTTAAGAGAAGATAATCAGTTTCTTTTCAGATTTTTAAAATAAAAACCATACAAGTTATATCATAATAAAATTTCTATATTTAAAACAATGCATATGTGGTTACTATTAAGTATGTTTTTGTGTGACGATTTGTGTTTAGTACAATACTGTAACAAAGTCTGGAATGTCAGGAATAAGCAAAACATTTAGCAGTTGGCATTGGTCAGACAGGGTTATTCAGGCAATTCCATTGTTCTGTAGTACATACATCTGCATAAAATCACCATTGCCCATGCTTTTGAAAGAAGCAGTTTTGTAAAGGTCTTCTTATTAGAATGTTAAACTTGGATAAGGTTATTAAAAACAAGCTCAGACAGTCAAAGGGAATAAACTGTTAATACACAAGCAGCGTGGATGAATCTCAGCAAAGAGTAGGAGGCACAGTGACAGAAAGTAGGCTGACCAGTGCTAGGTCAGTGGGAAGAAGAGAGGGAACACGAGAGAAAGGCCAGAGGGGACAAGAGATTGGACTCTGAATGTGTTCAGTGTCCTGGTCATGTTGATAGTTTAATAAATATTTTTTAAATGACTAATTGTAAAAAAAAAAAAAAAAAAAAAAAAAAAAAAAAAAAAAAGACAGGTTCTAATAGATGTATGTGCAGTTTATCCAAGTAGAGTGATCCATACCTGTGACTCAACACTTAGGAGACTGACCTAGGAAGACCTTGAGGCCAGCCTGGACGACATAAATCCTCAAAAGAGACAGGAGAGGGACAGCAGTTTATTTCATGTTAGTTATGCCTCAATAAAGCTGTTTTTTTGTTTTTAAATAAAAGGCAAAAATGCTAAGTGTGAGCCGGGCGTTGGTGGTGCACGCCTTTAATCCCAGCACTCGGGAGGCAGAGCCAGGCGGATCTCTGAGTTCGAGGCCAGCCTGGGCTACCAAGTGAGCTCCAGGAAAGGTGCAAAGCTACACAGAGAAACCCTGTCTCAAAAACCAAAAAA